TAAAAGAATAAACATTAAACCGATGTAAAAAGTAATAAACAAATTGATAAAAAAAAAATAACATGCAATTTACCAATGGTTATTTATTTATTTTTATTAAGTAACAAAATTAAAGAACAAAAATTTTCTTCTCCCATTTAAATTAATTTTAAAATTTAAAATTGAAATTAATCTTAGAAATGCTTTTACAAATTCTTTTTTTGAATATACGTGTTGCTTTTTTATTACCATCTACAAAATAATTACATATAGTTTTAATAATTATATTAATAACAAATAAACATTTTTTTAGGACATGATTAAACAAAATGTTTTACGATAGATTTTTGATCATTGAAAACAAATCTGAAATTAGTGAAATTGGTATCTATATATTATCAGGTTTCCTAGAAAATAAGGTTAAATGTGCCAAAATTGCATTTTTGGCCATAAATATTATTTATTGTCACTAAAATAATTATTTTTTCAATTTTATTTATGCTACTTTAAAGTGCTATCTTTTGTCTATAATATGAATTATATATTTATTACAATACGATTTTTTTTCATCTGTATAATTAACATATTACAAATCATTAAATTAAATATAGATAATTATCTACTCAATATTGAATAGATTAAAAACATCAAATTTGGCACATTTAATTTTTATTTTCTTGAAAATCTGATATGATAGGCCAATTTCAAATTCATTTTCAGCAAACAAAAGTCCATCGAAAAATATGTTTTATTTATTCAGATCCCAAAAAAAGCCTATTTTTGTATAACTGTGCAATAAACTAATTTTTAAATTTTATAGTATCTCATTTGCGAATTTAAATCATAGTTTAATTTTTCGATCTCTTTGTGTAACTTTATCGAACTTTTTAAAGAAAAATCTAATAAACGTTTCTTCCATTCAGTTCTCATTTATCTTAACATATTTTCACGTATAAATCTAAATCTAAACTTGAAGACTCGAGAAATTAGTTTCAGTCCTCGTACGCGATTAACTACTTTTCTTAAATATCTTTTTCTGACAGGCGTCGGCCAAAACGTAAAATTTGTCAGGCACAGAAATCGTATAAGACCAGCATAGTTCTAAAAAACTGACTCGAGTAACCTGACACGCGCTCGCGAGGTGTGAGTCAGATTATGAAAATGTATCGAGCGCGTCGTTTATAAGCGATAGATGAACATTTAAACGCTAACGACACGTTTGAGGCAAATCTATTCGGACGGGAGTGAGTCGCGGTGATTCGCGTTTTTATTTATCGTACATGCGAACGAGACTCGGCCGTGCCTTTTGATTGTTAACGTGCCTGACGTTAAGAGAGCTCGCAGTTCTCTCCTCTCGTCGTCGCACTTGTTACCGTTGTAACGCCCGCACGGATGAATGAATCTCCGACGATAACGAACGTAAATCTTTCCGAGAAGCGATCCATAATGCATCTCGTGAATTCTTGTCTTGAATACATCAATCGCGCGCGTCACGCGATTGTCGTCGACAATACCTACTGCAGCGTGTCACGACATATAATGTTTTAAAAAAGTCCCGGGGACAAGTGCACCGCTTGTCACAATGTCTAATTTAATTGATATATTTCGTTGTTTTAATGGGTCGCAACATACACCGTTTGGTTATTAAAATTGCAACTTCAAGAATGACGTAAACGAGTAAACGTTTACCAAGTACAGTAACATTGCATTAATGTTATTATTTCATATTCAATAATATAACTTAATGTTATAACATATTATAATAAGTATATTAATATTGTTGAGTGAAAATTACAATATTGATACAATGCTACTGTTAGATTAGAACAATGTTACTGTTTAGAAATATCAAAATGCATGAGAGATTATTTATGATATAGAGTATATGGCGTCTAGAAGTTAGCAATTGATATTTTTACATTGATAAAATTACAGCTTATTTTTGTATTTTACTTATTTTTTTTATGACCTAATAAATCCTGTATTCAATTTTCGATTCAATGCGACGTCTTTTTTCTATTGTTGCAATGGCCGGTACATATTTGTTTATAAGAGAGGTTTTTACAAGTAATGATAAACTTACTAATTGAATTAAATAAAAAGTAAATCGATTGGTCGGAACAATAGGATTCCTTTTTTTTTTCTTTTTTTACATCTTCGACACAACGCGGTCGTGTAAATAATGTCAGGCCTCACTTAATATCGAGCGAGGATGACACGGGTATCGGTCGTGCTTGACCAGCTTGACGTGCCGACTTAATTCGCGGGTACGTAGTATGATATGTAATATTAACAGAAATGTTCGGCTAACGTATTCCGTGGACACGTGCGCGTGTGAGTAATAAGTTTATGCACCGGGCATTGCGTGCTTGAGCGGGATATACGAACCGCCTAAGTAATTTGATTCATCCACTAACGATAAATAATAAAATCCCAGTTAATACTTCACCGATTCAGCATAAGAACGACTTTTGTCCGATCTGTCATACGACGTGTAAATATCGACGTGCAAATATTCGCGAGAATGATGGATGACACCTCTCTGCATAATAGCGTGACGCTATTGTTATAAACTTGCTGGCTGTATCCCGTAACTTCGCAGCTGCGGAGTGCGATGTCAAAATGTTACGTTAACGATTATTACTCAGATGAGACATACGAGAGATCACGTTTGCGATTCCGAATGAAACTCTTGGAAATCCCCCGAACAGATAATTCTTCAACCCTTCATTATTCGCATTCGGGGTGTCCAAGGTATCTCGCCTTATAAATTTGCTAAATGCATGAATACTGTTTATGCACATTATTATATTTAATGCAAATTGTTCTCATAATTTCAAACATTTTTTTCATCTTTATCTAAAGAATATATAAAATCAATCTTTATTGATTATAAATCATCAATTGTAGCAATAGAAATTGAGATTGAAGATATTAAGGTATCAGATGGAAACAGTTCACACGAGTAATTATGCTAAAAGATCACGCGAGTAATATATAGGTTTAACTTTATCTATTTACTATTAAATTTAATTGTTTTTTCGATGGATAATTGGACGTTATTTAAAGAGTCAGATAAAAGCTCGTTTATGGATATCGATGCTGCGTGCAGAGTTCTATCATTTTTCATTATTATCGAAGAGCAGGCGTGAAATAATGTTACAAAATAGTGCGAACCGTAGACAATACGTTTGCAATTATTTCACGTTAGAATAAATATGTTAATGCAGTTTTGTAATTGTTTCATGCTAGAAGTTGTGCCGCACGGTCGAGCGTGTCTTTTCGCATGTTTATTCTACAATTATGGCGACAACGAACGGCTGCCGTCGTCTTTCGATGCGCAACAGTAATTATTCGTGACCTCGCGAAATTATCGTCGCAGATAAAGCGCCGCGATAATTTTCATTCGGTTATCGAACGCAGGCATTGGCAGGAAACGTCGGGGAAGCGTCGCTCTTCCTTCGTAAATTAACGTTCGCGCGCGGCCTTATTCTACTTTTCATCGAACGATCGTATTCGGTTCTTAAGTATTCAAGCGCTTCCTAGCAGCACGTGAGTCACAGACTCTGTATTAAAACGACACGTGATGCGGTCTATGAGCAAAAATATCGCAAAAAAGTTACGACATGCCTCGACCGGCATTGATGTTTGAATGAAATTGACGAAACTTCTCCGAAAACACGTGTGCAGATTCGCATGGATTTGAATCAAAGCTTTACTAACCATCTGTAGACCAACAATTACAATTCTTCTTTGGATGTAAAACTGTAAAACCGAATACATTGCTAAATTCATAATGTTAAATTAAAGGTACCAAAAAATTATGTTTGATTATTCCTATCGTCACCTTCTTAGGTCGCCACTGTTATTCCTGTTTAATATGTACTCCATACTGTATTTAATTTAAATAAAACGATGGAATTAAACAGTTTAACTTAAGAATTAAATTATGTATTAAATTTGATTCAAATTTAATTTAATATTTATTATAATGCATACGTTAATATGAACGCTGTTTAATATTAATACTTTGAAATTAAGTAACTCAACTACAAAAATGGATTGATTAGATGTGATTTTTTTAAACATACTTTTATATTAAAATAATAATTTAACACACTTGCAAGTTAAAAATAACAAAATGTCATTTAAATAAACAATAATAAATTAAACAAGATCGCTATATGAATAAATCAAATAACTATGAGAACGCCAAATATGATCGAGACTAGATATTAGAATGCCTAATTATATTTAAAAAAAAATTTTTTTTAATATTCTAAACTTTTAAATATTTAATTCAAGGTATTAGTCTAAATTTGATCTTCTAGTTAACAGACTTTGACTTTACTTGATGAAATGAAATTTCATTTTTTTAATAATTTATAAAAAGTGTCATTGCCCTCATTACATATTTTTGGGACATAAAAATGCTTATTGCAAACTCATAACTTAATACGGCAGATGAAGCAAATAGCGTAAGTATTGTAATAACTAAGAAATTCGTGCTATATATGTATACTACAGATTACTACTATAATGCCGCATATAATGCCGCTATAATATAAATCACTGTAGCGGCAATTAAATCGGTCAGTGATGTGTGATGCGCACGATTACCTCGAATTAGTCATTACGGAAAAATTCGCGTGACAATTTTCCGGTATCGCGGAAGCGTATCCTGCTTCGACTTCGGTTTTCTTCCATCTTCCACCTTCTATCACTGTTTCACTTCCACTCGCCTCTCCTCTCTCTTTCTTTTTCTTTCTCTACCTGTCTCTCTCCCTCTCACTGTTCAACGCATCCGTCATCGTGCTTCCTGTCCGCCTTCGAACGATAAATAGGGAAAAAAAACGTCGATAGAGTTACTCGAGGATCGCTGCATATTTTTCTAGGTCAAACTAGAAGGTAGTTTTCTTCCCGCCGCGCGCCGTGCAGGGGGATGTCGGGACAGGAAAAAAGATCGAGGCTGAAGTAGGAGCTCGCCGGTTGAGGATGATGAGTCACGTGGATTCATTTATTTCGCAGATATATACCGGATATATTCAACGGTCGCATCATTTTCAAGCGACAAAAGCACGGTGTCTTACTCGCAACCGGTTCACTTGTCGATAGCCGTTCGTCGGCGTTGTTCCCCCGCTCGAACTATCGTATTGTATGTATTTCTCTTGAGGCAGAGAAGGAGAGTGTTTTTCTCGCCGAGACGCGAGAGCTAGATCACAGTATTACAGTATTAAGAGACGAACTGGCTCGATCGCGCGTTCGCCAATTTCCGGAAATCGGTTACGTATAGTGCAAGCCAATGGAGAAGTTACGCGCGTTCGTCTTCCGTGAGAAGTGCGCGAAGAAACGAAGCGACAGCAATCGTGACACCGGTTTGTTGATCGATAATGTGGCCTACGCGAAAACGAAGAGGAGTCGCATGTCAGGTAAAAGCAATTTCCCGGATCATCAAATCGAAGGCAAAAATTCTTGGAAGTTTCTGTGACAAATTTTGTCGATGGAATGCTAGCAGTTAATATACCTAGAATTGGTATAGATTGGTATAGAAATTATTGTAAAAGAAATGTGCCGCTTTGCATTTAAATGAAAGATTTTTACTCCATTTGGTTTTTGTTCAATCCGCGCTTAATACTAATATATTTGATTAGGAATTAATGTTTGGAATAATTATTCCGACGAAATCGATTCGTATGACAAATAGATTTTATTTTTTAATAACTATTATCAGCGAGAGAAAATAAAAAAGCTATAACAGTTATTTAATACAGAGAGCTATAATATTAAGATCGCATCGCAAACCAGAAAACACAGTTAAAGGATAATAAATACAACAGTTGAAAGGATTTCGATCTTGAAATTATAAACATTCCTTTTTCATAAAAAAAAAGATCCACGTTCTTGTTTAAGAAGAATTCAACGTTAATGCAAAAATTCTAAAGAATTATTAATATTTATATATAGTTTCTTGAATGTACAATATAAAAAAAAAAAAATCATAGATTTCAAAAATTATATGCCGATTTCTTTTGTATACATAAAGAGAGATGTATAACTTTGATGTGCGCTGTTTGTAAATATCAGCACGACATCTTCGACAGTAGGTATAATAATCTGTTCCCCGAATTTAACAGCTTTTACATCGCATCCGCGACGCGACCGGCGACGGCCGCGTCAAGGTTGCCTACGACGCGATGCGACGCGACGCCGACTCCACCATCGACGCGGTATTTTTTTCTTTCTTTTTTTCGCACATTCGCCGTTGCATTGTGAGGGCACCGCACACGCAGCTGCGTCGCGTCGCGTCGCGTCGCGCACGCGGTGCCACGTGTGGCGATTCAATTCGCACATTTCTGCATTGTCGTTTTCTTCGATATTGTCAGACCGTCCTCGCGGTCCCCGCCGCCGTCGCCCTCGGGATGCGACCGATCGATCATGCTTGCGCATAGCGCACAAGAGATCGAATTATTAATAGACGTTTGCATACGCACGGCAGAATACCGCTCGTAAACGCCGGCTTTACGGCGTTCCTCTAATTGCGCGCGTGAAGAACCTTGCGCGGCTTGGCTGTTTTCTCATAATATGGAGACTGCAGTGCAAGAGAAAAAGAGGGTGAGAGAGAGAGAGAGAGAGATATGGAAATCTCATGTTGGCCATGTTAAGCGACGTTCCGTCATCTTGTCTCTTAAATATTCGTCGAACATTCGCTGTCGCGGTAGTGTACCTGCGTTATTATCTATAAAGCCCATTCTACAATTGCGTAAGCGTAGTTGTAAGTGGTTTTAATTGTAAAAATTTACCAGTCACAATCGAATATTTTTCTTATATTTGACTGTATTTTAGTTAATTCTTACAACCACAATCCTTATATCTACGTTTGCACAATTGTAGAATGGACTTAAGCCGAGGGGGTAACCACTTGTTGAAATATTGTCCCACTGAAAGTTATTACATGATTTTATTTGATTTCATATGATTTTGTCTAATTACAAATAATTTTTTTCACTGCATATGAAGCCATTTGATAAAATATACGATTTTATTTAATATTATACAATGATTTCTCATGATTGCATATGTAATTATCGGATTATACATAGAGATTTCATACGAATTTTATAATGATTTCGAGGACTCTATCCCACGATTACATTAAGTTTAATCCCCTTGGCTTAAGCCTTATACGACGCCACGCGTCTAATTTGTATGAAAAAGCTTATTTTCGACAATATTATGCTTAGATAATTAAATTATCTAGATATAATTACTCTCCCTCCTAGTGAGAGAGAGAGAGAGAGAAAGATAAATAATTTGAAATGGGATAAGGTAAATATGATTTTATTTTAATTTGTTTAGACAAAAGATAAAGTTAAAGTCGTTTTAAAAAAAATAATTTTAAAATAATATCATTTGTAAATAATTAAATAATAAAACAATTTAGGATCTAATTTTAGGATATAAAAAATATATTCATTTTTATCTATAAACCTTTATTTTTTAAAAACAAAAATTTTTCAAATTGCTTTATTTAATATATAAATGATTTTTTAAGTATTACTCATCACGCTTAAGTTTTCTACGTAAGGATACTTCCTAGGATTGATTTCGTAAAATGTTGCAATCGAATTTACTTTAGATACGTGTCTCTTTCTTTTTTCGCAATAATTTATATACGATAATTTATACTCAAACATCGTTCTTTCTATGCAACATATACGTATATAAAGAGAGATATAAATAAAAAGAGTTCAAGATTTAAAGGATTCAAAACTTAAACTTATAACGCCCGTTAATCGAACTGAAAAATATTTAATCAACATAGATTATAGCATCAACTTATACGTAATTCGTAATAGCAAGCACTTCTAAAGATGGCAATTTAATTTTACATTTGAAAAACGATCATATATGCGGGCGAATTCGGACAAAGGGGAGATCTTTGTCGCATCTTATCTTCGATTGAGTCAATTAGCGAACCCCGATGATCGCGCTAGATAGTTGCGGTAAGCAGCCTATATTATAGCACCGCAAGCGAAATTTTTGTTAAGGTCGAATATGTAAAGATAAAATATTAAATTATTATTTAAATTATTACATATATTAGATGGAATGTGAAAGTATTATTTAAACGTATAATTCATAAAACATTTTATTTTAAATTATATTAACACAAAGAAATACAAAGAAAGACTAATATCTATGTTTTTTTATATCTACGAATTTTTTAAATTAAAAAATACTTTTGAAACATTAAGATTATGATGAAGCATTTCAGAAATATTAAAAATATAGATATATAACATTTTGTTACAAATATTTTTAAAAAAGAAGACTCCATTGCGCGAACGAGAGAGAGATCATAGATCCAATGCTATTTACAACTTACTTGATAATTCTTTGATATAAATTAGCGCAACATTACAAATCAAAAAAGAATTAATGATATAAAATTATTGTTTTTTTTTATTAAGCTCAATATGTGTGTGTGTGTGTTTCAATCTCTTAAACATAATTCTCTTGTTGTTGTTAGTTATTTTAAATACTTATTATTTTATTATTGGAAAATTTAATAGATCAAACGACGTTGATATATGACATGAGTATGATGGTGGACCTAAAAAAAATCTGTAAAATTTTCGACCCTCTTTATTCATTGTGCCAATACATCTTGCTGAAATACGGGCGCGCGTCTCTGCAATAAAAGAATTAATTTTAATTGGATTAAAAGGCCGAGCGGGTACTCGTTCAAGTTAATTATCGTTACTCGCATAGCATAGCCGTCAGTTCGCATTAACCCTATGTCGCTGCAGTTATGCTAAATTAAATTATACCCGCTGCTTCGCGATCGTATGTTACAAAAAAATAAACTTTTGTCGAATATACTTCGTAGAGAGCGATACGAGAGGCCCCCCCCCCCCCCCCCCCCGGGCACATATAACTTCATGATTACATAATTATGTTTTATTCATTTTTCTAGAATTTAATATTATTTTTTTTCCTTCTCTTCTTTTCCGATAAAAATTCTTTTAAATTATTCTTCTGCACGTGTCTCACTTGCAAAATAAAACTTCCCCAAATTTTATAAAAATGAATATTCATCGACGTGTTTTCGTCATTCCCACAGTTGTATAATTGATCCATGATATTTGCAAGAATGTTTATGTTAGATGTATAACGAAGACTCGATCGTGTAAATATTATATCATACAGTGCGTATACGCATACAATATTCCACGCTTGAATGAATTATATTACATCATATTATAATATGTGAATATGTGCCACTTAAAAATTTTATGAAAAATATTTTCAAGTTACATTTAATTTCTTTCTGTTATTACAATATTAAATAAATTTAGTAAACAATACAAAACGTAATATTTATCATATTCCATAATTTGAAAAATATTATCTTTATCACACAATGTAATCGTTCTGAACTTAAAATAGATATATCGGTACAAATAGATATATCTTCATCATCGATTGATCGATTGTATTACCTTATTTTTGCAGTAATAATTTAAGAAATTATATATTGACTGAGTTGAGACAAAATTGATTGTTAATACTGGAAATCTATAGTGCAAACTATAGATTTTCAGCGTTATCAGTCATAGCTCAAAGGGACAAGAGAGATAACCTTCATTTATTAATAAGTCACTCCGTTTTAATAATTTTTTTGTCTTTCAGAACTTTAAAATCAAACAATATTCGTACGATTTTTCCTTATAAGTGGCATAACATTTAGTATAGTTAATACGCACAATCAATAATGTTTACGAGCTTTACGAGTACTCGTGATGACCGTTCACAATGAGCCACTCCTCAGCTATAAACACACGCGTACATTGAAATTCTTATAGCGGAGCGATGCTTAATAATAGGATACGCAATGATGCCCCACTTTGTTATAAATTAGTGTCACGTTAATACGTATCATACCGCGAAATGTGTCACGTGTATGCGCGATGTGCGATCTGCGAAATGTGAATCTTTATTGATGTAGTTTGGGATACTTGCACTAATTCGCGATGGCAACATTCTGCTCGAACACAATGACTCATACGTTCGTTTGCATATTTCTAGTGTAATGATACTTGACGTTTCATCTTTTCTTCTCTTCAAAATTCGGGACATAAATGTTTCATTCCATTGTGCACTCTCGCTCGTGTCTTGCCGCGAGCGATATTTGTTCGATAACATTAAGTTAAAAATAAAATTTAACATTAGTGAAGTCACTTCGTTTTAATAATTTTTTTGTCTTTAATAACTTTAAGATCAAACAATATTCGTATGATTTTTTTTCTTATAAAAACCTACATTTTCAAGACACAATTGAAAAGTTGTATATCAGAATAGAATTTCTGATAGGTTGAAATTTGTTATTTAAATAAATTTGAGTTTATATCAGTGAAAAATATAAAAAAGCCTCTTTATTTTCGTGTGAATGTAGCAAAACAAATAAAATAAACGTTTTCGACCCTTCAATTCAGGTCCTTGTCGATATAAAATATAAAATATAAATCAATATAAAATATAAATTTCAGTTCATATATGTATATTCTTACGTTATAGAATAAATCTTTACCTGATGTAACGCACGATGCTGGTACCATAATAATTTGGCGCGATTTAGCACTGTGCTTGATCACATTTTATTCTAGATTTAAGAATTTTTCATTTAAGAATAAAATAAAACGTTCCTCTTTCAACAAATAAATATGAATATTCTATATTTTATGATAGATCGAAGAATAATAGCATTGGATTCGGAAATCTTTTCTATGGGTGTACACCTATCTCATATTTTTTCATCCGGAGACTGCAACGCGACCTTGCGATTTCGATTCTTTAAACGGATTCATTCACGACCGTCCTGAATATCATTAGTGTCTTCCTGTATCGTTGAGAGATCATTCGATCGCAAAATGGTTAACACATAGCAATTATTCATTCGTACCACGACGTCTCGACTATTAACACCTCTCAATTCCCTGAACGATCGAGAGTGCGCATATCCGCGTTCCTTGCGACAACGGAATCGTCCTAACCGGAAATTTACGAGTGCGAAATGGAGTATAAAAGAGCGTACTTGTTCTCATAATCAAGTTGTCGCATATATGTATATAAATGGTATTGACATTGATCTTGCTTGACGTTAATTTCGAAAAAGAAGAAAGGATTGTTCTCGTGGTTTCGATCGAGTTTAAAAAAAATCATGCGCTAGCGTCTGAAAAAAATTATTTTAGCAACAAAACTCAACAACAGCAAATATTCTGAAATAAATAATTTTTAAGAAAACAAGCTATTATCCGAAAAAGATGGTCGATTCGTTCATCAACTTTATTACCCAGAAACTTTGCACGATCTCGACCGATGTCCCTATTAATGCTGCATTCTTCGACACTGGATACGAGTTTCGGAACGAATAAACAAACTTCGGTCCCCGTCCTCCAATTCCTGCAATACAGCTCATAGCTTCAAAGTATTGATAAGGCCCCTCTTTACTTTGCGGAGCTGAGCATTCCTGTCGTTTTTAAAGTGGTCCCTCTCGCTCGGTCAATGTTTATAAACAATCGTAGGTGCAGTCGATGAAATGCTAGCACATACACTTACATTAACCGTTTCCTCTGAGAAGATCTGACAATGAGTCATGGATGGAAGTAGCAGATCGATTGATTTGTCAGTATAGTGGGACTTTTCGCTCCGAAAGGGTTGTTCTCCGAGTTTCTTGCCAAGTATCTGCTCGTGATAAATAAACGAAGTATTTTTCTTTCGGCAACGTTACGTTAATGTCATAATAGTTATTTGTTCGAAAAATAAAAAATGAAGAGTATCATCGAAATGAATTTAACCGTAGTTAATCAGTGAATGATGCCACATAGTGGCACGTTATTTGATTTTGTTTCTTTTAAAGAACGAAAAAGAAAAACAGTTCCTATCGATGGTGAGATTTGTAAAATTAAAATTTGCAAATTAAGCAATCAATTTTATTACTTGTGCATATTTTATGTGTTCACATAATGTATATTTCTCAATTCAGATAATATTAAACAAAGACGCATCTTTTAAACAGCCTTTGTCAAGTTTAGAGTTACAACTAGTTGCGTATACGAGTTGCTATCAAACGTTCTCTTTACTGTTTTGTCAATAGAGCGGCATCTCACTCGTGTTAATAATGATCATCACTCATATTATACTGGTGTCAATGTCATTAGTATACCGTGCATCTTCCACGTTGTGACAGGGCATTAGTATATACGATCGTTAGTAAACTTTATGTTTGTGTTCTGATCCGATAACTTTATTTAGTTTCTCATTGGTACGATGCATGAACGCGCCGATATGTAAGTACATCAGAAAATTAATCGTCATTTAAAAAATCATGTTTACGAAATTATCATTCAAAGTTAATTTTAAAGCTATTTAAAGGTGGACAGAAATTTTCGAGGGTTTTATTATCGCACGGGGGGGGGGGGGATCGTTTTATTTCTAAATTTTCTTATGTATTTTTCTTTGTAGAAACCGAAAAATATGAGCGATGATCGTGAGATTGAAAAAAGGAAGCTTATAATGAACAAAGAAAGCTTTTTAAACAAATGACTGATATCAGACATGATTTTTATATACAAACAGAAAAATAATTTAAAAATAAAAAATGACACGGAACTTTAAGATCCCTTATACTTCTTTTATTTTCAAGACTTGCTTCCCCCTCTTCATTAGCGTCTATTTAGTGTCCTCTCGTATTATTGTTCGACATACCTATATTCCTCATTTGATCTATGACAAGCGTACTAGTAACATCACAAGGTACGTCCACCTACGATTTATATGTAAGTAAAAGTTTAACTGATGTGAAGTTTCCTATTTTAATTTTACAAATTTTAATTTATTATGTTATCACTTTGGTAAATCTGGTAATTTAATGGACGTCATTTGGACTGTTTCGTCGATGTGATTCAATATTTAACGTTTCAAATTGTTATGATCAATCCTTACGCGACGAGTAAATGTTTTTAATTTATACACTATCATCAATCTATTATTTCACACATTAGAATCCAATTAATGTAAAAATTATTAACTTAATTATTGAGGAGGACTCTAACCGAGGGGTTCAAATGTTTAATTGAATTTTTGTAACATACGATAAATTTTTAGTTTAGTTAGTTATCATTATAGTCTTAAAAAATTGCAATGTCTATTATCAAATTGTTATTATAAAAAGTAACAACCTAGTAACTCTTTTATTTCCTGCAACTAAAAAATGTTTATATACATTATCTATACTAAAAAATCAGTAACTAATTGAAGTAAAGTCCTATCTTCCGCAAATACTGCCAAACCCATGTGTGAATTAGATACTGTATGTCTCGTTACATTGGCACGGCAGTCGATGTAAAGTAAACGATAATGATTGATAAAACGTACAAAAAATCGAATCTGACGGAGCTGGCTTGAGATAATGTTTCCGTGAATCACGGACAGTGCCATTAAAAATAAAACATTTCCATAAAAAATGCACAATGATTCACTGTTCGCGGTACTGATAAAGAATAGATTTTTTTTTAATGCAGCACGGCAACAGATGAAGTGGCATCCTTATCAAAATCAATAGTTTTGTTAGCATTCTGGGTTAGTTGAAACAAAAGAGGAGGTTTTTTTTATATAGTTTTTAGAAAGATTTCTCCGTTTATTAGGTAACACCAAATATAACACTAAAAGTAGACTTTAAAAAGGAGTGCTAACTTTACATCCAATATTGATATCGATAGTGTATTTGATGTTTTTTGACGAGTACTAGAGTTCCTAATATTTATAAATTTTTTTATTTTTATTTAATATTTTTTAAAAAATTTATAAATATTAGATAATAACTAGTCTCTAGTATTCGACAAAAGACATCAAATAAAGTATTCAAAATTATTCAGTATTAATATTAGGTATAAAATTAATTTTTAAAAAATTTTTTAAATTTATGCTTATTATGTTTATAATTTTTTTTAAATTCGTTAAAATTCTTTGGAAGTCTTTAGAAATTATCAAGAAATTTTCCTTTTGTTCTATTGTAAATATAATCCAAAACTCTTAATAGAACTACGATTTCAAAACGTAAGGATGTCAATTTTACACACTCATGGCAATATGTGTCACGCGTTAATAAGGTAAAAATAATACTAGCGATGTGTTTTGCAATAGTTCTGTCTCATGAAGAAATTTGAATAACTAAATTTTTTTAGTTATGCGCGTCTTAATGCCTAAATACAATTTTATTCATTGTATGTATAGGAGGCAACTCACAATTCTCTCGCATCCAGACTAAGAGTTGGCGCGGAAAATCTCAAGGACTGCAGTGTAAAATTTATTCCAGAATCTTGATTTCACCGTTGACTACGAAGACTTCACACAAGAATCTCGCAGATATGTCTCGAATTCCCCTTATGGAACCTGAGAGTGGCTTGCAAGTCACAGAGGGTCAAAATATCGTAATGCTTGAGGTATATTCTAAAGATAAATACCAATTTTTAAATAGAGTTAAATATAATTTTCAGTATAAATTTCATACGAAATGCTTTTATTTATATAACGCGATTAATTAGATATTTGAGTGTTTATAAATAAAATGAATTCTATGATACTAGCAAAAAAATACATTTTTTCAATCTGCCGTACATCGAGGAGGGCAGAAAGTAAAGAAGGAAGATTAAATAAAAATTGAAGATTGCGCAAAGATAACATATAGGAATTTAGCTGTAAATGCGAGATGTAAATAAAAGTTAGAAAATTAGTAAAAATAGTAGGAAGAGGATTAAAATTGTAAAGAAAGGTATCTAAAATAAAAAGAAGCAGGAGATAAGTAAGGTACATTGAAAATAGATAAGATAGGAAGAACGAGAAAGTATTGTATACATGCCGAGATTAGTACATTATTAGATTTAAAAATAGACAGTATAGAGAATGTGTGAGAATAAAAAAGGAGTGTGAATCCCCTTCTTGATTTAATGCTGAAATGCTGAAGGAAATAAGGATTCTTCTTCTATTATTATGCATTTTTGAAATTGCGTCTAGGCATATACAGAGTCTACACACATACACACACACACACACACACACACACACACACACACACAAAGTCTTATTTTTAATATATCCTATATTATGTCCTATATTTTAATTATCCCTTTTTTTTAATTAAGAAAAAAAATATATATATTATTTTTCTTTATAAAAAAATATTAGTACTACATAATCGAACTTTAGTACTTGCTAACATGAAATCTATTTGGAATTACATACTATCATTCGCATATACAAATACGCTGTAATAATAATTGTAACAAATTATGTAGGCTGGATTACCCGGCGATTCGTGGACATATTCCGTCGAGAGGGAACGATTGGCCAGAAGATCAGAATGGTGTCGGGCAATGCTTACTGGTTCGCTCGCTCCTCCATCGACACATTCGCCGCCGTTGTTACGATTGCAACATGTTGACAAGCGAGCATTTGATTATTTTCTCAAGTAAGTATTAACTTTTCAAAAGTACAATTTTCTTCTTATTAAAAGAAAATAATATTTCGAAAAAATATGGAAACCGAAAGATATATCAGATAAAACTTTTTATATAAGAATTTACATAAATGTACAGTCATATAGATACATATAAATTATGTATATATGATTATATGATTATACATATACACACACACACACATATATATATATATATATATATATAATATGTCCATCATATAATTTTTTCGTCTTGTATTTTCTGTTCGCATGTATAAGAATGATAATAATAAGAAGAAATAAAAATAATTATAAGAAATTCTTTTTTGCATTATCTTTTATAAAAAGTAAAGAAATAAAAAAATCCGTAAGAGAAGATCAGATGGTATCGAACATCTTAAATTTTTTTGAGATTATATTTTCTTGAATAGCGAAAATTAAATACACATAACGAGCTTATCTTTACAAGATAAGATTACTTTTTTTCTTAGTTTATCGATTCACTATGCGCTCGCGAAATTTTGACATTTAAATTCTGGGCATCCTGTACATACACAATATGAAACATTATTCTTATAACAAAATGTCTTTTTAATCGTATTTTTATAAAAATAAAAACAGCTGAGATTTTTAAGTGTCATTATATTTTCTTATTTTTGTAAATTAGTGCTATCGGATAGAAAAATTAAAGAAAAAACATATTTTCATTATTGTATAATTTTAATGTTATCTCCTGTTTTAGTTCAATAGCTTTTAATTTATCTCATAATGTACCTTTCAGAATATCTCTTATTTGCTTTTCTTATTGTCATTTCCTTATTTCTTACTTTCTTAACAGCTATTATCACACTTTCTTTTTTCCATTTACCTCGTATCTTCCTCATATTTACTAAAACAGTCGTCAGAAACTACTCAATATTCACAGTCGATTCTTATATTTGTTGAGGTATATAAGAATAATTGATTTTTATATTTGTCTTAAATACAGTCTTAAGACGTCATAAACTCGAATACTGCCTATCAAATCTCATTGTCATTCGAACGCACAACAAAAAAAAAAACAACATATGAAATGAGCAGCTTTAAAACAAAAAAAATTGTTAATCCACAATTTTAAGAATATAATTATATATTTATACGTTTTTAATATTTTTTATCGAATATGAGCGTTCAAAAATGAAATTCTGAAAATATAAACAGCACATTGCTGAGAAACGCAATAGAATCATATATAGAGAATAATTCTCCTTTTTCAACTTCATAACATATATATTTTGTTTCTATCATTCATTTTATTGCATAGATATCTTCACGACGAGCCCGTCAATTTTATATCAGTAATAACGGCCAGGGTCACGCTCAATGCAGCTCATGAGTACCTTTGTCCTGGACTCGCGCGACTCGCCATAGTGTATCTTGAGAAGCATCTCACACCATCGACCGTGCTCGAAATTTATCAGGGTCTTGGACTTTACGCGAATGAGCTACGGGAAGGTGATTCCGATTTTGACAGATCGTCAAATTTGCTATCGACACCATTACCGCCCGGAGACGAGGGCAGTATAATAGGTGCGCCATTGATTTCTTTGGAAACAGTTTCACGGCTGCGTAGCTGAATAAAAATGAAATGATTGGTACAAATACTAATATATTTGAACGGAGAAATTGATTCATAATTCATTCATATTGCAGCTGCTATGTGCACTGATCTTCTGCTCAAGTGCTTGACTGTAATCGATTCGAATCCGATAAAGGTGCTGCAACAGGAATACTTTGAAGAGCTCACTGCCCAGGAAGTCTCCCAGTTAGCACATCGTGACACTCTGAATATCACTAGCGAGTCTATCCTCTTCAATGCCTTAGATAGATGGGCCGCAGCCGAGTGTAGAAGACGAGGCACCGAACCTTTGCCAGTCAACAAGAGAGCTGTGCTCTCGGATGACGTCTGCTTCAGCGTACGGTATCTTCTTATGAATGATCGAGAATTCGTCAGCGGTCCTATGGCGAGTGGTATCTTGACTAACGAGGAATGCGTTCATATCGTTTCTAAAATACTCAGACATCCCGAGGATCCGAAAAATGAGAACGTAAGCATGCATTCTAATCGAGCGAAAATTTCTTCATTATTCTATCTGTCTAAACTTCTAAAGCTATTATGCAAAGATATCAATCAAATATATGTAAATTTTCATTTTGTGTACCTGTTGTTATGTTTTGTATTTTATATTCGATTAATTTCGCATTTAATAATAATATTGATCGTAGAAGATAATAAAGCTTATAAGAAACTTTCCTTTAAAAATTTACAGGTTCGGAGCAGCGCAGCGGTCCATCCAACTAGGTTGTCCAATGCGCCTAGGATCGCATATAAACATGAGAATCAGGACTGCAACATGTTAAGGCCGGGTAAAAAGGAACGACAAGACAATCGAAAAAATAGAAGAAGAGAGTGTGCTAGTCAAGGACATAGAGCATGCGCTAGAATAGGAAATTGTCTCGTACGAATTCTAGCTTGCGTATTTGATTAAACACTGCACCATAGAATCATAATCGCAGAACTTCCAAATTTTCTCGAAAAAGATATTCAGTTGTCTTTCTGCGTCATTTTGTTTTTCGGTTATAAATTCCGAGAAATTCTGAGAATTCAAGATATGAAATAATGCGTATTAAAAAGCCTGAAGAATATCTAATGAATAACGTCTAAGAAATAACGATACACACGCGTTTATCTACATGGTGATCAAGTCAAATCTCCAAAAGATATTCAGTATAACTGCATAATTAAATAGAACTTATAAATTGTAGATACTTATTGCTCCTTAATATTTTTATGAATGCGAAAAGACACAAATAATTTCTATCATTGTCGGAATATTAAACGTATCATGCGGTCACGTCAGCTAATTGAAATCTATATACATAGGTAATATTTTTGAAGATAATAGAGAGACTGAAAAACTGAAACGAACGTTTTTTTAACATTTTTAGAGGATATTTACATCTCCGACGAATTTTTATCGGTGAGACATTATTTCAAAGTAACGAAGAAATCGCGCATGAAAATTGAGAATATGTTTTATGCCACTTACTTCCATTATTATTATAAACATTTTGTTGTTTTGTTATATATATTTGGGGAGATATTTTATCTTCTTGTTTGCAATTTTGCGCAAGATCTGTTGCTATTACAACAGTAGGCTTTCGCTACAGTCGTTAAACGAAGTAAAGACTTTCGCTATTACGAGATTATGCATTTTTCAATGTATTTTACATATTTTACAAAGAAACGAAACTTCAAAATTTTTATTTGATCGTCGGAGAAAAAAACTTTACTTATACGCATATGAATTATTAATGGTCCAACTATAACGTACCTTCTTCATAAGCGCCTTTCCTAAACATTTTTTATAATTAAAATGTTCGAGAGTATTGTCTATGTTATTCTAAATACGAGACCTATTGAGTGTTATTATGACGTCTTCGTTGTGTTCATATTTGCTGTTCAGAGTATATTACAATCTTTAAATTAATTATTTGTATTTTGCGTAGTACGTAGAGCTGCGGCTGAAAATCCGAGGATTGATGCGTTCAAGGATATATAATATTATTTTATAAGTCGGATTTAGAGTTATTTATCTATCTGATACCTCTCTAATTGATTTTTGAAAATTTTATCTTTTTTATTTATCTAGAGTCTCTTTTTTAGAGTATCTTAATATCTGTTCGTTTTGCAATGAATATAAAAGTCATCATAAGTTGGATACTTTAGAGAAAAAGTTTTTGAAATTAACTTATATGTGCGGTAAAAATATGACGTTATTGAAAAAACAAAAATCATTTTATATTGATGATCAATTGGTAAATTTTTATTTTAACTTCGTATAAGACATCGTTCATAATAACGTTGCTATATACAATTATTTTGTTAATCGGATTATTGACGTATATATAACAAACTTATAACAGTGTGCTTCGATAGAGTTACAGACTGATCATGCGGCCATACTTATATTTAAAATCTCTGTGATTGATGAGAGAACAGAATCGATTGAAATGAAAGAATTCAAGCGGTTTTTGACAAGTCTCTCCCCTCCCCATTATTTACTTACGATATTATTTTCTACTTTTATTGTAAGTCTAATTCAAGTGCGATTATATAAGTAGATAATGTAAGTTCAACTTTGTAGCAAACAATAGTATTACGATAAATCATGAATACTAGTCATACGGATTTATTTTCCAAATAACTCAGTTACCAGATGTATTCTTTATTTCTATATAAAAAATAAGACATGTTAACAACACGTAGTCGAAAGAGAATGTGAAATACATAAAATAACACAATATAAAATAACAAAATGTTATAATTATAAATTGATATTTAGTATGAAATATGTCATCTATGTAGAAAGAAAGAGAGAGAGAGAGAGAGAGAGAGAGAGAGAGAGAGAAAGAGTAAATTGTTAGATGAAACCTATAAAGAAGTAATGTTAATAAAATAAAAAAAATATTGAGTATGCAATCTCCTGCACTAATAAAATTGTTAGTAATTAATTATAGTTGTTAATAATAATATACTTAATTTAAAAATCAATAAAAATTTTCCCACGATTTTTCATATAATATTTATACATACTTTTTAAATATACATTATTTATTTATTTATCTCATTGGATGTTGCTATATCCAGCAATTTATCGGCCATTTCTTGAAATCGTTCCCATTCTTCACAATGCGATAAGAGCAATAAGCTGAACTTTTCGTAGCCATAGAAAGCACCTGCTATTGCACCGGCCATACTAGCAATCGTGTCCGTATCGCCTCCTAAAGAAATCTATAAAATAGTAACAAAGACATGGTAATGTAAACGGCATTTTTAAATATTTTGCTATACATATAAAATCGAAAATAATTATTTAATCTATTATATAAGTTTTGCTACAAAACGTATCAGCTAATAACTTAAGATTAACTTACGGCATATTGAATTACTCTTCTGAGAGGATTATCAGTTCGTATCTTTTTTATACGTCTCTGTGCTTTCAGAAAGCAGAAAATCGCGGTAGGAACTGATTCTAAAGCTCTGACATTAACACCTAATTCTTCAGCTACCCGTTGTTCATTAGGAGACACAATAGTGTCAAGATCACCTCCATCCTCAGAAAGTAGATTCTTTACTATGTTTAGTCGTTCTTTATATAGTTCGCTATGATTTACACGCTATAATTGATATCTGTCTAAATGTAATAATGTATAACATAATATAAAATGTACCTTGTATCTCCTTCAATTTTGTCCATTTTATTTATGAGATCGTCAACAAAATTGGAAACGTTCAATTCTTCACTGGGATTTAAATGTAAACTTTGTTGAATTGCTATAGCCTGTGATAATAATGGACTTTTATAACAGATATCTATTGATAAAGATATATATATATATATACACATACATATATATATTATATTTTTATTGATAAAATTAATTTACGATTACTTGTAAAATAGCACCATTTATCCCTAATTTGTGTGTATGTGTAATTTCCGTTACTTCTTTTACATGATGTAAAAGTTTGTCATAATTGTTGTATGAAAATAATACAACAGGTGCAATTCGCATTGCACCGCGTATGTGTATATATATGTACATATATATAGCATATTATTATAAATTAGTATTTATCACAACTTATAATTATAAAGCATTTATAATTATATAAAAAAAGAAAATTCCAAAAGTCTCTTCTAATACATGCAAACTTTATATTACGTTATTTATAAGAAATCTGGATGTTTTTTTACATATCGAGGAAAAACTTGACTTCCGAGATAAATTTATATAGATTTATTTTTAATACTCTTTTAAAATAAAATAAAGTTATATCGAGTTATATATTAATATATATATTACATATATTAAAATTATTTTAATATTTATATAACATTAAATGATACTCAGCAAAATATAACAAAAAAAGAATTGATCAATATGAATATACAATCAAGTAGAAATGTCTTGGTCAGAGCTGAAAAGCTTTTTTTTAATATTCTAATGTTATATCCAACATAAAAAGATGTCATGCTAATAATGAAAAAGTTGGTAAGTTCTCGTCGGAAAATTGCTACTTTAATTAAGCTATTAAAGAATCTAAGTAAGGAATCAATGATCTTTTCTTAGTTTCTTACTGAATCCAAATGTATAAATAAATCATATTAAAGAATTTTATAATAATTGCAAAGTAGCTTTCTCTGTTGAATGCAGCCAATGATTATCATAACTGAATTATTTCTTGCTAAAATTTAGGAGATGGTAAGAGCCCTTCCCAATGTACATTCGTACATTGAGTGACAGATGAGGATGCCTGCTAAGCCCTGCCTAGTTGTAGCTTTATGGCATTTTTCAGCAGTTGTTATTGCTACGTCTGAACAAATAGTACTGAGTATCCTTGTACATTTATACAAAACATTACTTCAAAAACATTACTTTTCAGAACTGTACATGCAATTTATACAAAATTTCGATGACTTTAACACTTTTGTTTGTAAGATGCATATTTGATCAATGCATAACTTGAACAACACTTCATATAATATAGCTATTCAATGGATATCCTTAGGACATCTTTTAAAATGCTCTTTGGAGAACTGTTATGTGAGACATTGTGCAATAGCAAATTTAATACTAATTGTTCATAATTGAACCATCCTCAAATATTAGATAATTATCGATCAATACATTAATACATATTATATCAGTAAAAAACTAACAGTTACAGTACCAGCTCCGTAACCACGATCAGGCCTTTCATGATAACTTTTTGCAAATCGCTTAGCTACATCAACAATATCCAGCTCTTGTTTCTCAATCAATGATTCAGCTAAGGCGCGTGTCATTGCCGAATCATCTGTGTACTCCATAACAGGCTCTATATAATTAAGTTCTCTATATAAAAAATTGTAGCTTATTTCATATAAAAAATAAAAAATATAAAACATTTGTAGGACGTTTAAGTATTTCTCGATTTTTATATTTAAAAAGAGAAAACACGAGTTTTTAATACATTATATGTACTATAAATATATTGATAATAATAACATACTGGACCTTATAAATAAATGCATTATTGACGGCAGGATTCAAATTAGTTAACATTGAATTCAAATTGAAGTTATTCCATCACATGCAAGTTGGTTACAAATTATTAAAATTTTTGCGACCTAACCTCTGAACTTCGTATCCCACAATTGATTCAACCGTCGCTGTAAAACTCTTTTTTTCTGAATTGAAATAGTCTTTAAGCCTTCGTATGGACTCCCAAGACAATCGCCGACCAAAACTCCCAGCATTGTACCGCGAAATTTATTTTTCAGTAATACCGAATCCATCCTCAACGTTATGATTATGTCAAAAGTGAAAATCCAACTTTGCCAACTCATTGCTACAGATTGACCCTAGATTGAATTTGAAATTCCCCCAGATTCCCCTAAATCCTTCATAGGAAAAAAGGTAACATCAATAATTATATTTATTATTATATATATATGCATTTTCTATGTATGTCCCGTGTATACTAGAAATTTGTTGATTTTACACAATAATATAAAAAATTGTATAAATAATTAATTACATATAATTAAATTGTTAATTAAATATGATTATTTTCAAAAATTTTGTGAGTAATTTAATAATATATAAAATCTGTAAATTTTTATATTAAATATTGTTAAAACCTACACATGAAATTAGATGCATATGCTTGTCATGGCAATGTGAGAATATATATTGCTTCGATACGCGCATAAATTTTCCAGCAAGAACACAATGAATTATTATAATCTTGTTTTATCAACATTAAACAAGGATGAAATGTACAATTCACTGTGTTACGCTGTATCTGCTGGAAAACGTTTATTAATGCAATTGTGTATATATGTATGTCAATATAAATTCAATTAAGTAAACACAACTTTTTCTGTTCTGGAGGAGATCTGAAAAGTTTTTCAATCGACAGTCTTTACTAGTTCGATACAGAATTATTGTGTAAAACATTTGTACAATCATGATTTTTTTTTTGTTAATAAGATGCACGTTTACCCGGCCGAAAACAGGCTATTAATCGATCCAACATTAAAGTCACGCTTGAACTTAATAGAGAAACGGTGGTCGGTCGAGCCACCGATGTAATCTCCTGTTAATTAATTACGTGAACTAATTCCTAGGATCTACTGCGATGAAGATAAGGCAGGTGGTACTCTTAATTTGTTCTTTCGTGATTTATGAAATACTTAAAGGTCATCTGTTGCACGGAGCTTTCTTTTGAGTTACGATATTTATGTTAGAAAAAAATGGCTTCAATTTATCTCACGTTCTAGCAAAACACAAAAACGCTCTAAATTGCTGTGAAAAATTATTAAGAATAATATAAACGTTAAATTCATACATTTTCATTCGTAATTTCCCTTACGAGAAATTCTTGATAAGTTTTATAAAATGTTATATATACGCGTACAGAATTTATTTGAATATTAATAAAAGTGCACAATTTACATGTAATTATAATGTAATTTCTACGTGAAGTGGAGGCACACAAAAATTTAGACTGCGTTCCAAAATTCCTCTTCGAGTAAAATTTTCCTCGGAAAGAACGTTTTGAAATGTAGTCGTAAGTAATAAAACGTAGTAGCAGTAAGGAAATCCAACATGCTGGATTTGCTATACTGCTTATTATGGTTTTACGATTCTCTGTGCTTTCTGCTTACGTTTTATTGCTCAAGTTTTTTGTTGGTATATTATTGCACCTATAAAATTTATTTTTATAAATGCAATTATATCAAAGCAATATTCGTCGTAGTTGCTAACAGTGTTAATATAGATTATATTTATGTTACCATCATCAGTTATCAGAGTTATCTTATCGACGTACGTTTACATGTGTACGAATTTCTCAAATCTTGATTTAGCAAATCTTTTCGCGCGCTCGCAGTACGTACTATTTATCGGAATTAATGCTTTCCGTCACGCTACATTCACGTGATTACGTCATATTTGCGTGACGGAATTAAGTTCCGCTAATTTCCGCGGAAGGTTTATATCCCATCCCAGCAATTCTCGCGTTATCCATCTATCTATTTCCTACATCTTCATCGTTAATATCGAGGATACTCGAGCACACATTTCACGCGTGCAACACGCGTGAAGGATAGTATTCGACAGTATCCTCGTACGCATTGCAAGTTGTAACCTTCAAGTGGGTTTAAGGGTACTTTTGCCGGCGCGGCACGGCGGCACGTCAAAGGGATCGGCGGCACTCGGCCACGGTGATTCGGCGCCGCCGCCGCTTTTGGGTGGGGCGGGGGCGCGGGCCAACCAG